CGGATGTTATTATATTTGTGAGATTTTCAGTAAATTTCTTCCATGCGACCCACGGGTTAGCTTCTTCGTCATAAGAAACCCACTGAGCAGAGAGCGCCATGTTATTCAACAATGTGTAGTCTATAGATCTGCGCGTGTTACCAGAGGAACTTCCCTGAATCGACGTATTTGAATGTAAGTACTGCATGATCGCTACGTCCTAGGGCAGAAGTCACATTGACAGACTCTACCATCAGCTCCTCATTGGTCAAAACTAAATCCAGTATGGACGGTGACTGAAAGTTGCCAGACCTAGTGGCCACCTTCACATGGTTGTATAGTGGATGCGAGTCAATCAGCCGTTTGAAATGATGTTCGAAAAATGGGCGGACGGTGGAAGTAAAACGCTGGGGTTTGACTTGAACACCCACATTCAATTTTACGACTGAAAAGACACAAAAAGCATTATCTTGTATGATTATGAATCTACAGAATAAATGGTTACAAACCGATCAGTAAATGTGCAGCAGTTCCAAGCAATTGTTTTGACAACTCTATAGGAATCTGAGATATAATTACTTAAAAATCATTCCACAAAAATTACACGTCTTACATCATTCAGAGCGAAAAGAAATTCGCTGACTGATACTAAGTGAATAATTAGGCTGTGCTACTTGATTTGTACATAGTCGCGTCAATTCCTTAATATCCTTCTGACTTTTGAAACAATTCTAAGTTGAATAGGGTTGATTGTCAGAGGATCCCCGAGACGCTTGTCAAATACAGTCAAGTTTCACAAATCACCCGAAGTTTTGTGTATAACCCGTTTGTAGTTGAAGCAAACTCTGGTAATTGAAGTTTATTAGGTAGGGATTACCGATTCAGATCATGCAGTTATCAAATATTATGTTGTGCTATAGATAAGTTGCACTAGAATAAAACCACCATTGATTGATGGATTTATTTGAGCTTTGCCCTCATTGATTTTCATAATCACGTACAATTCTCAGTTCTTCCAGCAAACCATGCAAGCGTTTCATGCGATGGGGTCTGAGTTCAAAGCCAGAACGAGACGGTGGATATGCACTACTGATCGAACCTCGAGTTAAGTGCTTACGAGTGTATGGTTGAGTAGAAGAACTGAGGATTGTTCGTGAATTTAGAGTCCAAAGGATGATTACTTTAAATCAACATCCTAATCACAAGTAACTGTGAGTCAAATGCGCAATATACTCGCAAGTAACTACGTGTTAAATGCGAATTCAAGTTACACAAAACGAATTAAGCAACCAAAAATTGAATACTTGAATAACCTTTTAGAAACGTTCATTTCAAAAGAGTAATACATTCTGATTGAAATTTGTCTGGCAGGATCGTGTGGCTGCAGTGATTTTGTCAATGCTCGCGTATGTGGTCACCGGGACGCATATGAATGAGTCGGATCTGCACTCTATAAATTGCTCAGATCACAGCCTTAGATACACTCACGAACAAACCGACTGGTACGGGATGATTTCGGTGAGTCTGCATTCCTCGTCATGTGCAATAAACTAATTTGTAACGAGCACTTAACTAAATGTGGCCGAGATCAAAACAATGTGTTGTCAATCCTTCTCCAAGCCCGGATTGCATCATCCAACTGAATCGAATTTAGGGGGCGATGGAAGTGAATGCACAGACGGATAACATTTGAAATGGAAAGCTAATCACTGAAAGTCAATGCACATTCCAATAGAATTTGTCCCTCGTCAGTGTCAGTGTGAATGGCATTTAGGTAAAGGACAGAAACAGTATGAGATAGGAAGGACAAGCAGAACGATTCCGGATGCACAAGAAGTTCCAATTGTTGCACAAAACTAATCGTTACATTTTCTTGAAGTATTCTCCAACAGTAGTCATTCAAAATTCAATGCGCTCGAACCATCTGCTGAAATAGACCGAACAGGCTGAAGTGCCTCACTGTTTTCCCAGTTCATGGAAACCCCCCACGGCAGCTGCTGGTGAATCTGAGTCGAGTGATGCTTGGTTTCTGGGTCTAAACTATACATCCAAGTCTCATCAGCACTGATGATCTCCCAAACTTTATTGGAACGTCCATCATCAAACCTGACAAACTTGGTGCAGCACCAATTTACTCGAACTGCTTTCAGTTCCTCACTGAACTGATGGGATACCCAGCTTGCGCAAATCTTTCTGAGGCTGAGCTTCTCATGTAAGATGGTGTGGATTTATCCCGATGAGATCCCGATCGTTTTTGCCAGCAGTGTCACTGTCACCTGCGCATCTTCCCCATCGCTTGCAAAGTAACAAGGTTGTCGGCTGTGGTGGTCTCCACAGGTCGNCCACACCGTGTATCATCATCCAGGGACCACCTGCTACGCTTGAATACCTCAAACCACTCACGCACAATGCTTCTTGAGGGCGCGTCATCACCAAGGACAGCTCGCAAACGATCAACACCCTGCTTCTGCTTCAAACCACATTTATAGTGATGGAAAATCATTGTCACCTATAGTGACATCGACCGAGTTCCATCCTTACAGTTCGAGTTTACCGACCCCAATGATTTGTGCTCGGCTGTTGTTATTTTGTTCTGTGAGTTGCAATCGCTGACCCAATAGATTACAGTTCGCGTTTTCCCTTTCCGGTCATCTGCAACTCGTACTCGTGTACTACGTATGCCGGGAATGTTTTGCTCATCGCCCGTCGGTATATATCACTTATATCAATCAATATTCTCTCTATTCTTTTGAGGTGCATTTTGTGAGCATTTCAGAGTGACCATCATACCATATAATTATCAGAAGGGCAATAAGGTACGCCTGAGTAATGTATTGTAGAACGACATGCATGGAACATGACAGCGGGTGTTTTCCCAGATCCTAGGTAGAATGGTGGCTACCAATTTTGGAGTGACCTGGAAAGTTGTTGGCTTCGGGCGCGCTAAGATTTCCCGAGCTATTACAAGAATGTAATAATTCTTCGCTTGGCCAGTGGTTTCTATTATCATGCATATCTGTATACGACATTATGATTTAGCAATCGCAGTCTGTCCTCTCGAGTTTCTTCTAACAGACATGTTACTCCGGAAGAAACGACGGAACGGCACAACAGACCACCGGTTCGTCTGGAATAACCTCGCTTTCTTGCGGTTGCGAGTCTGCAAAGGCTACAATTGCAATCTCGAGCCAAGAGGTTGAATAGGGTACTGAAAACTTACTTCCGCCGAACTTGGTCACTGTTGTGTTCCAAATTAAGTAGTTAAATGAGCACACAACGAATTAAGCAGTAATTTTATTGTAAACAGAAAATATGTAGCCGATTCACAAACCGGGAACAAGCAGGAACAAACAACGTGTACGAAGGCTGTCAGACAGGCCGACACCGGCTCACACGTCACACGACATGCAAATGCTAGTCAGTTGTAGGCCACAACAGTCACCAAATGTTAAGACCACATCAAACGGTGCTGAAGATACCACCTTTTTTCCTATTTCCGTACATCTTCCTGGATACTGAGGAAGTTCTATTTTTTCATGAGGGTGTGGTTTCTCGCATTCCAGCATTGAGATGAAAAATTAGCTTGAACAAGGACGAAATTAATCCACTGGAATGTCAGATGTGGATATCTAAAGTAGCCACATATGCATCATCTACCTCTCGGAAGTCCGCCTAACCAACCCGCTTGCGCGACGTGTAAAGGTTCCAGGAGAAGACATGGCTTACAGGTTTTTTCACAGTGGGCCATCAGACAACTCCGGTGTGTCACTCGCTCTTATCAGCAAAGTCAACTGTGCCAGGATCTTATCGGATCCTGTTTTTTCCAAACTCACCTTGGTGCGCTTCAAAGTTTTCCCACAGGACCTGAAGTTGATTGTAATATTTACTCCAACCCCTGCAGTAGATGACAGAACCAAATATGAGTTAGATCATAGTTCGCATGAGTTTATCGCAAGGGGCTGAAACGCTTGCACGGGTGCATCAGACGGAGCTACTCGATTCATCACAATAATTGATCAGGCGCATCGCAAAGTGAATGAGCGTTGTCTGAGCAGTTTTGTCGATGACAACAGAATCATTATCCACAGCGCTTGTTGCGAATACCCTAAGAGATAGCTACTAACCTAAAACCTCAATGATGATCATACTGATCACCAAATAGACCACATCACCAAGCTGTCATGTAGTTTTGCCTGAGGAGAACTGACGGATTGAACTGAGGGGCAATGACCGGAAACAAGCACACGCTTCAAAATTCATTTGTCTGAACGGCTAAATGCCTATGGCTCCGTCTGGTTAAAAGTTGAGTGGAAACAGATTTTTGCATACAATCTCTACCGCAAACAAACGGCTTCTGTCGGAGCCCAAATAACAAGGATAAATTCAATGATCGAAGCGGTTGTTTTGAGGGAACATAGAAGAACAGAAATACGCCAAAACCGCTGCATCTGTCAACTCAAGAGCACAAAGGGGGACTGTTAGGTAGCAACAAATGCGACAGACTCCTACGAAATTCCTCAAGTTTCGTCACTGTTTGAGTCAACGAAAAGAGGTCAAGTCGTGATCCGCGGACAAACCAGCGAACTTAAATCCAGACCGAAGCAATCACGCTTCGAAATACCTGAATGGTGAACCGGGTTCAAAACAACGAGAATAAGGGGTGTTATTTTCGAAGGATGACCGGTACAACTGAACTGACAGAAGTAAAACACTGCCATTCAACAAGCACTAAAGATTTCACCTCGGCTGGTGATGAAATGTTCGCAAACGACTTGGCAGGTTCGACGAATTCAGTCCATTCCTGCTCCGAGAACTGATATTTTGTCAGGACCATACTATATCAGGGTCATGGGTGGAGTTCAAGAAAAAGGACCAATGAAATTAAGATCGTACGGGTTTGATGGACGAACAAAGACACCTGTCACTGGCAATGAACGGGAGGAAGATGTCTGGGTGAGGTGGGGTTGGCTTAATCAGTAGGTGTATTTGAGGATAGATATGGTGGCGGAAAGATTCGGAATTCATACTTTGAACGATGATAGACAAGTCACTAAATCCAAGGTAAAAAGATCCGTTTTGATTTCAAGTAAACAGTTTACATCATGCTTTCATTTCAACCCCGAGTAACTTATTCCTTTAAGTTACTCTATGAAGCTCAGTATTCAACTAGCAAGGACACACTTTCAACATGAGTTCCTAATTTGTTTCACTTCACTAAATAGTCCAATTTCTACGAAGAGTGGAATATGTTACGATTCTACTCTTTGGAAACGCTACCGAACGGGACTAAAGGATTTCGTGCAACTGCCCAAATACATCCTAATCAACGAGTTCAACTAACCGAACACGGTCGAACAGTGCAACGTGAGAGTATGATTTCCGGTCTGTTTGCAAATCGGTTTCGTGGATTTCACGGCCAGCTGCTTCGGATAGGAGTGATTCAGGTGGGTTCATATTGGATGTATGGGTGGAACTGAAATACGGTTTGCCTGGAAGTACACTTGCTATAAACGATTGTTGGTTGGGACGAAATGACGATTACATATTATTTCAGAAAGAATCCTTTCCAATTGTTTCACTTGAATACAGTAAGTAACAAATTGTGAACAAAATTGGCATTTGTAATTATTTTCCACTTTTTTCGCTCATCTGTCTATGCACATTGAATAGGTTGGGGTGCTAAAAAAGAATACCATATAAGGACATTTACATAATCACGGTGATCCAAGCAGAAAACATGGTTGTTAATTCATTATCAAGTCATTTGGAGATGAGTGAATGAGGAGAAGGCTTTCGATTATAGTCGTCAGAAAAAGGAGGTGCCAATGTAAAAATCGTTCCCTGGAGAAACCCGATTGGCAAGTGAAATAGAAAGATCGCTTCATCTAGATAAAGTCAGAAGGTAATTAAAAACAAATATATAAAGGGAAAAATTGTAAATCAAATGGACCAGAAAAAATGTATAATATGAAAATAAACAGAATAAAGTAAATTCACACAAACAACACAGCCGGGCCGAGTGGCAGGTTACCCATAAGTGCATGCTCCTGTTCAAAATGTCCCCTCCCATCACTAATGAGTACGAACGTACGTTCCTTGTTGGCGAAAATTTTGGATCAATCACTTGTTCTCCGTTCCCGGATATTCGTGTTCATACTTGTGTGATTTGCCTACAAGGATCTTGGCTAAACCCAGATGTTGAGGACGCGTCGGTGTCAATCGCTGGATTTAACCTGAACCGGTAGGACAGAGTTTCCTGTAGCAAAAACCCGGCGGTGGTGTTTCTTCTGAATTTCTCAGTCACCTTGGAGGTTAAATGTTTTACTCGTATTAATTCCTTCTCTCATTGAAATGTTGTGTGATTTTTGACTGACATCTGTCCACGCAAAATTCTATGCAAATACAAACACATATGTTCACCGAAGCATTGGTCCAAAATGAGAACACTACCTCAGCATTCACGAATCTAGCTAGCGACTCCAGACTTTGCACATAGAGTGCTGTGTACATAGGGATTCAACCAAGTGATCTGATTTTATCGAAAGAGTTCCCGTTTGTGTGCTGTGTTCATGTCACACGACGGTTGACCTAAGTTTATCTGCGACATTAAAGCGTTTGGTGTCCACACATCTTCTGCTCGCAGTAAGCGCATGACAGTAGAAGTTCTGTTGGAAGATGAATATTCCGTCGCTTGGATACCAGTAACATTCGATAAACCCAGATAAAGTTCCAAGTGGATAACAATATACAAAGACCGGGACGTGTCAACATTTCTTTAGATTTTATCTTCTTTTCGCACAAATAGAAGGCTAGAATGAGGAATATTTTGATGTCTGCAGCCTGTTTGTAGCTTCATTATCCTAAAAATTATAAATGTAATTTTCCCGGTTCTGAACATGCACAAAGGTGGATGCTGAAAAACTGTGATCTGAATGCATAAATGTTGGAAAATATACTGTAGGTGCTACTTCAAAAATGGAAAATCGTTTGAATGGTTCATGTTTTAGCCCCTGCAAACCATATAAGGTTTATTTGGAGAGAGGGTTGGAACCTGTATCAAAAGAGTTATGCATCTGTGTTTGTCGTAGTTCAGTAGAATCGACAGTAGTCCGAGTGTTGTTATTGGTGATGTCGGTGACGACTTTGTGACTGACGCTGGCGAGGCGCATGGATCGGTCACTATTTTGCTCATATTTTGGGTGCGAAAAGACGAATACCTATCGCCTCAGTGATGGTCGGTGGTGTTTAAGTGCACTGCCTGATAAGGTTTGGGGAGCGCACGATAGATAACACTGCACCCGGATTCCGGTCTGATTTGAAGCCCTGTATTCACTAGATAATCAAGAGTATCGGATTTTATGATCCTAGTGCATCCAGTGTGGACAGAGTTTTTTCGTTAGTTGGGATGCTTCCCTCGCCGTACGGCCAACATACTTTGCATTACAAACGCACTTTTGTAATTATGTAACCGGGACAGTGGTCAGTTTGAGTAGCCTATCGTTGAGGCCGGTTCGGATTATAGGAGAACCTGTAAACACATACGACTGTCCAGCTGCTTTATAGATCCTTTGAAATTCTTATGTGGATGATTTTGTCAAGAGTTCCGATATCACAGCTCCTTCGAGGGGCAGCGAAAGGGATAATTTATTCTTCTGAGCCTAGTGGTCCTGGTCAGACAGTCACTTCTCCTGAGAGTGTTCCTCAAAAGGCAGGCCAGGATAATCGTCTCTTCTAAGGACGTCCTTGATATAGTTTAACATCCCGTCAGAACAGATTTGCGATCTCATGGTATCAGACTTTGGATCAGTTTTATTTTCCGTCTAAAATTATGATACTGTGAAATTGTGTGAACTCCCCATCCAAGTTTGATTTTTGTGTGCTCAACGTTGTGAAGAACTGTCATCTTTTCGGAGAAGTGCCACGTCTGAGAGAACCAATTTGTCGTTTGCATATGTTTCCAAAGTAAACGAAAGCCATTCATGAATCTCGCTGAACATTTGAAGTACTCCTTATGAGTTCCGGTTTTTCTCTGTATATGTATGAATGTGTCATCCATGTATCGGCAGGTTGGACTCATTTGTCTAATTTCTTTTTGTCTAATTTGACCAGAAATAAAACCGCTAATAGGGAACCCATGGCCAATCCGCACATATGATGGGAAAATTCTCCAACAATTAAAATATAGACATTGAGTGGGCATTTCAGCCCTGATTCCATCAGAATCTTTCTATCTGATTGTTGCTACCAATACGGCAGGCGTATCCCACAACCCGGGTCAATTAACACGAGGACATCTCGAAGCGCTNNNNGCGCTTATACTAAACAAATACCGATAGGAATACCAATGATGATTCTAACTGGATCACTACTGAAATCCACACTCATTTTCTACTTATTATCTGCTGGAGGATTGTGCCAGATAGGGTTTTAAATCAATGGAACACGATTGTTTGCCTTCAAATCCTTATATATAAGAGAATTTCGTTGTGTAGAGAGCAAATAAAACTTGAACTCAAAAGCAAAAAAGCACGGCATAGCTACTGTATCCTGCATAGACAAATTGTAACATGGTTTGATAAGCGGCTGTTCAATGGTGGTGTTCAATGGATGGTTTTCTTGGGTTCTTCCTCCTTTCGATTCTCAGTTGGATTGATGGATTCGCACTTTTGCTGATTAACCCCAACCAGGTCGAAACATCTGTCCAATGCTTCTTAGGAGCTGTTCAGTTCATGCCTCATTTGTTCTATACCTCACAACCAAATTGCCTTCGACATTGAATCAAATCCTGGCCTACTATAATGAAACGCTGATATCAGAACAAAGATTGAAGGCGAACATATGTTTTCGGTGCTTCCTCATCAAGCCAGTACAATCACATTTATGTGAGAATATATGTGAGAAACAAAATTCAAGTGCACATGTGGTGCCACTTATGTAGATCGAACGACAAGGCAGCTATCTAAGCGCATCAAGGAACATCAACCCACTTGGCTTAGACACGGAGGAACTGGAGTTATTTCCAGTTCCATCGTTGGTCGAAACTGGACATAGGGCGGATACTAATTCGGCTTTCACCATCATATATCGCTTCCCATAGCACCTATCCAAGGTTGTTCGAATTGAAATGCTAGCAACAGCCGAGGCAATTATCATTCGCTTGTTGAATGCTGTTGATAAGGAACTCACCGAAAACATATGTTCTTCTTCAACCTGTGTTCTGATTATGAATATGGGTTTATTCCGGGTTTCAAATCACATTGAAACCCTAATATGATAAGTACAGGAAGAATTGGGCAAAACTGAACTCTGCAATTCACCTTCGGACTTCTGGGACTAAATCATTCATCAGCTGGCCGACCGAAATGGGGTAAAGCGATGAAGCAAAGTTTCTGACACTTATGATAAATGTTAAGATTACAGTTTGGCGAATCAATCGATGGAAGCACAAAAATGAAATGAATGTATTTATACTGCCAGATGGTTTCGAATTGGTGCCGTGTGGGAAGCAATTTATTTTATGGGAAAAGTGAGCTGTTTTTTNAAGAATCCACGACTGAATTGGAGTTATTTTATATACTGAAAGAGCCGTTGAAGCTGTTGCTGGAAAAGAGGTCATTTTTTATCTTCCAGAACGACAACACACTATAGCAAACCGGTGTGAAGATGTCCGGTTATCCAAACCACATAATCACCTTCGCCGCTACCGTGGTCTGATAGACTGCTCGACTTTAGCTCCACCAAGTGTGCTCGGAATCATCTCAAAAGTAATAAAAAATGAAGCAGTTCAAGGCGGAACTGGGGATGATATTTACCAGCGTTGACGGCAATATGCTTCCCAGAATGTGCCTTGTTATCGATAACACAGGTTGTTTGCCAAATGATAGAACCGCCCTCTCCTTCCAGCTTTTCTGTTTATTTAAGCCGAATTCAAGTTGCCTGAGAGTTAGCTTTCGTAATGATGAACATGGTTCTCAGAGGACTGGTTAGATGCAACTGATTTATCCAGATGGGGCGAGATCCCTTTTTCGAAAAATGGTGTACACAAAATTACGGAGTACATTCCATTTTTTCTGGTCAACAATTGTTTATGATATAGATTTCAGTACACATAATTTTTTGGGATTAAAATATAATTTAGTGAAGTAGAACTACATCATGGATGTCAGCAAAGAAGAAATTTACTCATATATGTCCTTTTTGTTATAGGAGGAGCCGTTATTGATGTGTGAAACAGTCCTTGAATCCGGTCAGGTTGTTGGTGCTCGAGGCATGATTGTAGACATAGTGAACATACTGGCCGAACGATTCGATTTCAAGTAAGTCCTGAACACACGATTTAGTCGCAATCTGAATATCCGGTGAACTTATCAATTTCGGTCGTCGACAATGGACCAAAACGTTCCTTTTGTGGTTACATCCACGCACACACACATTCCGTTGCAAAACCTTTCTCTCCGTCTGTATGTTCTACTCCTGGCGAATGTGACTGAATTCTCGCTCTCAGATGTTGAGACACCCGAAGAGCCGTAGCCTCAAAGCTACTGTTTATAATAGATCAAAACAAGACTGAACGAAAGAAACTTTGATTTCAGGGAAACTTCCAGACTCCCAGACGGTGTCTAGCATCCAAGGTACTTAGTCAAGCGAGTAACCGCTGCCACAACCAGGGTTATGTGCAAGATGAAAACAGTAAGAAGAAATTCCTTAGCTGAAGCTGTTTGAGGCTCTGTATTATATTGAAACGTTTCGCTAGCTGCAAGGGAAGTATGATCAGTCGCAACTCAAGACAACCACCCTCGATAGAACTGATGTTTTGAGGGGTGCCACTGAGTAAACCAAATCTCAGTCATCATTTCAAAGCGATTTTATTTTTACAAAATTTCTTTCGTTTTTCGTAGTCACGGATATATGGCCTCATTCCAGGTGAGCGATTCTCAGAAAATTCACCAGGAACCCAGGACGCCGGCTGATTTATAGATAATGCGATGGGTATCACACGGCGATGGAATTTCAAGCTGACGAAGTTAACTATCTTCAGGTTTCTCGCTTACAATTAAAATATGTACAAGTGAAACAAAATGAAGCTACTGATCTTAACTAAGATAACCAGAGGCCTCCCGCAGAAACCATTTGGGGCATGAACGAATGTTTTCAATTATACGTAATCAGGCTAATACCCAGGAGTACATTATGACTTACAACACCAGAGAGGAGTCACGTCGACAATATCATCTGTTTGGTAGAATTCAGTGTGGGTAAATGTCGATTGCTGTGTGATTCCAGCACTATCCATCCGCAACGGTAGAGCGTTTTTAGGCATATACATCAGCCGCAGGAGTGATGGCTCTTTTATAGTGCTGAAACAATGCAACCAATGTGAATTGCACAACGAACTCATTTGTTTTGCAGTGTATGGTACTAAACTATAAGACAAGTATTTTGATTGTTTCAAAGAACAAAACTAAAAACCCTGCCTGACAGACACAATCGGAAATGAACTCCGTTTCGTGAAAGCCCTCTTGTTTCCACATGTGGGACAAGTCACGTAGAATAAAACAAGGTCGTTATCCCAAAACTGAATTAAACAACGAAAGACTGAACACTGACTGCATGCAAACAGTAACCACTTCAATCGTGGCCTAACTAGCAAACAATCGGGCATCAATTCGGCAATTTCAAATACCTGGAAATTAGTCAAATTCCATGCAAAAAATTGGTAATTAGCGGTCGCGGAAGTCGCGACATTTGGACTGTCAAATCAAACACAATGGGCGTAAGAGACTGATCAAAGCACTTCAGCTCCGGTGGCCTTAAACTGACCTGAGAAACACACAGTCATAACCTCTATCACGCGAGGTTGTCAGAATCGTTAAATAACGAATTCAGGACGGTTGAAGACTAATTAACATCTTACAGCTCTGTTGTTTTCACTCTTCTTTAAAAGTTCACGAACCACCTAATGAAACGGTTTTTTTCAGTTTTCCAATTTCAATTTATCTTGTGCATGATTAAGCAATCGGGCCTAAGGGCAAGGTTGCGGGAACTCCATTTCATTTGAAGCTATTTTACATAAAACGGCCGTTCATAGTGGCTTATTGTCAGAACGATGCAAAGATACAATGGAATACTACGAATCTTATATGCATGTGTCATTTTGAGGTGGTACAGAAACGTAAGTGGTTCAACGGAGACAACCAAGATCAATCAACATTACTATTCACGACGGACAACTAAAAATCGTAGTTGCATCTACGGCAATCAGGTGTTTCCAGTAGAAATACAGAGTTTTGGGTTACGCAGCCTCTATTTTACATGTTATGAGGGATTGGGTTCGTTGGAACTACTCGGCTACCGAACGTACTGGTAGATTTCCTGTTCGTGGCTTTCCTCTCGATTTTGCTAATATCCGTGGATATGCATTTACTAATATCAATTTCCTAGTAGCGCAAGATTCTAGGTAAAAGTTTCAGCAGTTTCCTGTTTCCATCGGTCATTACTCACTCGTCCTGGAAGAAATCAGATTTGTTGTTTCACAACCAGTTATTTGTGTTATATTACTGCGAGCTGGGGAAAGAGTCTCGACTGAGAAATTGCGTAGTTCAAGGGGCGGATTGAACAGTTTCATCAAATATGATGAGCAATCTGATACGAGGAAGAACCAGAACCACAAAATATGATGCGTTTAAATCACATTCAGCTTTGAGCAAATAAAATTTGATACTCAAATGCGAT